CTCTCTCTCTCTCTCTCTCTCACTTTCTTTCTTCTCTCCTTCCTTCTGCAAATCCAGCAGAGCTGAACTAAACAGTCAGAGCCTGTCACCTCGCTGGCTCTCGGCCCCCAAGGAAACGCACCCCCTCCCTTGACTCACTCCATTGGGAGCCCGATGCTGACCGATTGCAACAGGGCTGACTTTCTGTTTCGTGTGATCAGAAAGAAGAAAAAAAAACAGATTTCCTGTGCTTCCCAAAAGCAATCATACACCAAAAGAAATATTTAGACAACTGAATCAGCCCAACCAAACCAACTGCAGCCAGAAATAGTATTTGTAGTGGGAAAGAATTGTTATAAGGTCATAGTTGAGAATAGATGAAAATCAGGAGGGGTCTGGCAGCCCCTTTTCTGATTCACTCCCTGGATTCAAAGGCAGCTTTCCTGAGCTGCAACTTCTGCCTTTGAACCAGACTGGTGAGTTGGAAAAGGGGCTACCAGACCCCTCCTGATTTTTGGCCACCATAGACTAACATGGTTCTCCTCCTCCAGGATCCTAGTTGGTCTTCCTCTCCTCGATCGTACAACGAGGTTTCTGATGGAGTCAAAGCCAAGTTGGAGAGCAAGGACTAGTGATTAACTTCTACCTTTTTGAAGTTTTAACTAGGAATGCCCATTGCCCAACCCATTACAGAAAACGCCCATCTCCTTGTCCCATGTTCTCTTCCACAAGTAGAAATGGCTGGAAATGATAACCTTCCACCATCTGAGAAAGGATCCGACGTGACCCACTCCCTCTTCTAGCTCGCACGTTCAGCTCATTTAAGTATATCTCATTCAACAACCACCCTACCCCCACCATTGCTGGACTACAACTCCCATCTGCCCATCAGACACATCATGAAGCCACCTTGGATCAGATGTTGGGCCTTCTAGTTCAGTGTTTCTCAACCTTGGCCACTTTAAGATGGGTGGACTTCAATTCCCAGAATTCCCCAGGCTGGCTGGGGAATTCTGGGAGTTGAAGTCCACCCGTCTTAAAGTGGCCAAGGGTGAGAAACACTGTTCTAGTTGAAGACGGCTTGAGAAAAACCAACAAATATTATTAGCTGATCCTACACTCAAATTCTCCATTCAACTCTGTTTTAGCAAATATTCTGGAAGCCCTGAAATGAGAGAGAGAGAAAAAGAGAGAGGTTTACAAGAAAGGGTGGATTCGGGGGGCTTTGAGATGAGAGGCAAAAGGAGAAAAATTTAGTGGGTTCAACTTAGCCTCTGGAGTATTCCTTGCATATTCCTTCTCCAAGCCGGCACTCTCTGCATTTCTCCAACCTGAAATTTGGATGCTGGAAAGTTGTGAAACTGCACAATACTTCTGGTTGGTCCTGAGCGTGGAAACGTGTTGAGAACAAGGGCAAACCTGGGCAATTTAAATCATCCACTGAAAAGAATAAAGGCTAATTTAAAGTAGTGGTTTATTTATTTATTTTTTAAACCACAGTGAAAAATGCTGATGGTTTCATTAGTTCTAGGAACGGCCTCTCCAGTTAAACACTTCCTTAAAGTGGCACCTTTCAGAGACTGCCCTGTGCTTATGGGTACAGCAGCTTAGCGCTCTTGGAACGTGCCAGGTTGGCCCCTGTGCACGCTTCCTTAGGAATACAAGCGGCAAAACTCAACACAATGGCATCGAATTGCACGGCACGACTGCATCTCTCCGTCAGTAAGCAGCACATTCGCTTTCCCTTAAAAGGGCAGTTTTCTTCCCAGCCCTGCCACTTTCTCTTTCACTTTGGCACATGCTCTGAGTTTGCATTTCTCCCCTTGCTGCCAAGGGCTTATTTCTAATACAGGCGTGCATTCCAAGCGCTTTGTCTCTGAACTTCCCAACGAGCAATGCTTTTCAGCACAGGGGTTTATTTGTCTGAGCTGAAAAGGAAATGACCTTGTTTGCTTGGGGAGAGTCAATATTTATCATGTGCGTCCAAGTAGGCAAGAAACAGGAAAAGCAGAACTCACACGATCCCCCTGGGTGGGCAGAGCAGATCTGTGCAGCGGAAGACCATTCCTCGGGGCTCTGGAATGCTTTGCCCATCATAATAATGCTGCGCACGGGTTACTTTCCAAAACGAATACGCACTTTTCCATGGTGCTTTATTTGCATCAACAGGCATGGGAGTTCAGCTTAGTGTTACCTATTTGGTTTTAAAGATAGGTTTAAATGAAGCTAATCAGACCTGACATTAACCGGGTTAATCTGATGATGGTGCAATCGTATGCTCGCAGAAGGATATCCATGAGATTGTAAACTATTTCTGATTCTCTCCCCTCCCTTCTGGGCTAGAGAACAAGCCAGACTTTGAGGCTGGTTCTTTCCAACACTGGAAAGTCCCAGAAGAGGCCACTAATTTAAAACAAAGGATTTAGGTTACAGAGAAGCTTCTCCAAGAAAAAAGATATAGTGCCAATTCTTGCTTTAGGCCCAAGATCCTGCAAATTTGGGGGGAATTCAGGCTAGGCTGGAACTGGTTTGCATCAATTGCAAAAGGACAGACGCTGAGACCCAAAAATCAAGAACAAAACCTTCAAAGACTTCTATCAGACTCTCAAAAACATGAACCTCCAGACTTGGGACATTTTGTTAAGATTGTTCGGATTTCCAAAATAATTCTTTTACAAAAATTTGTGGCTTTATCACGTTCCGATCGAGGGGAGGAGTCACTAGCACTTTTAAAAAAAATTAGATCTTTCAAGAACTTCAAAACTGGAGTTTCTACATTAGCCTTCACGCCACCTGCAATAGACACCAGATCCCATTTTTGAAGCCTGCCCTTCTTACTACATTCACCCCTCCAGGTGGGTTAGAATGAAGAGAACTGTGTCTCAGGTAGGTGGCAGCCCCCATCACACCTTGGCTGACCTTAACAAACTAAACAAGGTCCAGCCCCAGTACCTGGATGGGAGACCACCAGAAGTCCCAGGGCTGCTGACCAGACTGCAAGTTGGAAAGACCTCTCGGCAGCTGGCAGTGGCAAGCCACTTCCATGCAATTGCCAAAAAACCCTAACAACATCGACGCATCCCCGAAGTCATTCGGAGTGGCCTTGGAAGGGCTACGTCCTTTTAAAATCCTGCCTTTAAATTCAGAGGATTCTCCTAAAAACAGAGGCTTATCTTTCACAAATGCTGGAGTCAGGGTGGGTGGGGGACAGGCCGATGCCAGCAGTGCCACTGCACGGCGACAGAAGCCTCTCCTCTCTGCATCGCAATGTCACACATGTGCCCAGCTTGCAACAAAACAGGGCAGGGCGGCTTTTGTGGTTCTGGTGCAAGCGCCGAGATGTTGCGGACGCTGCCGTTCGCAGGGGTGAGCCTCAAGGAATTTGGAGCCAAGCTTGGAGCAAGAAGGAACAAGCTTTTAAGGATGGACTTGAAGAAGCAGTTAGAGTCCAGAGATTGGGGGCAGTGTGAGAAACTCAAAATAACCCTGCCTTTGCTTACTTTTATTTAGCATAAGATGGGATAGAGAGACTTACAAAACTCTGTTACAATATCTTCCAATAAAGTGGCCTTCCTGGAATCCCTGTGGTGGTGTTTCTCAGCCTTGGCAACTTGAAGATGAATGGACTTCAACTCCCAGAATTCCCCAGCCAGCATGAACGCTCTTCTGCTGGAAGTATTTGCACTACTCCTCAGTTTAAAGCAGTCCGGAAATGGGCCACTCAGTATCTTCCCAAGATCCCTGATCTCTGGCTGTATGAACTGGAGTGTAAAATAATTAGGCTGGGACTAAGTCTTCTACTGCTGCCCTGGTATAAGTCAGCCAAAGTCTACGGGACTGAAACCATCAACTCAACTCCGTTCTCTGCCCTGCTTTTGATTAGCTCCCTGGCACCCACACTCTGGGCACAAGGCTCTGGAGCAGGGATCTCTCCATGCCCCATCATCACATTTTATTCCAGTTACCTTCCTAGAACTGCTGGTGCAAACGTCGGGCAAAACTGCCCCTCGCCGTTGATCCTCAAGAATGGGTTTTCCAACCAAAAGCTGCATTCGAGATGGGAGGCTGGCACCATTTCCTTCTTTTAATTCAACCAGGTCTTTTCATTTGAAAGCCCCAAATGCGGACTGGGAATTCTGGGGATGGGGGTCTCGCATGGATCTGGGTGCCCCAGGCTGAAGGCAGCTTTGTGACAGAATCAAGCACCCATAAACTGGACTCCACCTTGGCTAGGCCTTGGCTGACCATAAAACATTACACTCTGGGTGAGTAGTATTGCTAGGAAGAAACCAACACTCGATGGTGTAAAATTCAGATATGCTCATATTATAGACACGGATCTTCTATATATGTATATACATATATGCATATTTGTGTGTGTGTATACACACACACACACGCATACAGGCTGTGCACAGCATTGGCTTCGATTCCCCAAAGATGTAACTTTTGCAAATGTAGCCCGCCTGCAGCTCTTGAAAGCAGCTGCATCTTCCCCTGGGATTGCTGGCCAGTGGCAGAGGACTACCATGCGATCCTGGGCAAACGTGGCTGGCTTTAAGAGTGGCAAACAGGAGCTTCCAAAGCATCTTTGGGGAATCACTGGGCTTATCCATGTGGCTGTATACAACCCCCCCAACATAACCCCCCCCAACACAGAAGTTTGGTTATGACCCTTGCAAAAAGTTGCTATCCAAAATCTTATTTGCAGTGTCTGTGTAAATATACCTGGCGTGGGAACTGAAGCTCCTTTGTGAAGGAGTGATGGCTCTAAGATCTGCACTATCAGGGGAGAACCAGGGCCATTTCCCTTGACACTTAGGGCAGGATAAAAGCTGCTTTGCAAAAGGGCTGAGCTATGCTGGATCTTCCTGGTCTTACGTGAGCACAACAGATTTGAAAACTTACTTCCTGTAATGGGATGTGGGAATGACCTTGGGAGGCAGGAGGAAGAGCTGCAGGCTAGGCAGCAGTCAGGTAAGAGGCAGCTGAGTCTGCAAAAGGACTGGGAGCCTTGCAAATGTCTCAGGAGAGGCCCTCCCTAGTTTCTAGGACTGTAGAGGAGACCGGGGGGGGGGGGCTTAAAATTGCCCTTTCAGACTTGCAAGACTGATGTTGGCCTTACAGGTAGCCCAGACAAGCAGCACACCCAAGAGTACTAGCTCTATTTTTATTGTAAGGTTACATTCACAGAAAGCTGCAGGTCTGAAAGGACAATTCTCCCCCCATCTCCTTTACAATCCAAGAAACTAGGGAGGGCCCCTCCTGAGATGTCTACCAGGCCCCCAGTCCTTCTGCGGATTCAGCTGCCTCTTACCTGACCGCTGCCTAGTCTGCGGCTCTTCCTCCTGCCTCCCAGGGTCATTCCCACATCCCAGTACACTTCCCTGGATGGGTGTGTAAGCCCTGTCATTCTGAAGGGACGTGGTACGTTCGTTTTCAGTCACTGATTAGCAGCCGTTGAGAACAAGCCAGTAAAGAAAGTAGATAAGCTGAGGGGAAAAAACAAAACAACACCAAGCAGCTGAGAGGCCATTTTTGTTCAAGTTAAATATATTTGCAACAGGGAGAACAGAGATATTGTCACCTCCCCTTTCCTCTGCCTAGAGGCTTTGTCAGCCCCCAAAGGAACGTATGATGCTTTACATACATGATTTCACATTAACACACATTGACGGCTTTTACATTCACATGGAGAGACTCGCTGGTGTGGTCAGGAAATCCTCTGCATTCTGGAGCCTGGCCATCATTTAAATGTGTTTGGAGCTTAGTTTTATTTGCATTATTTGGTACTATGAGCATTTACACTGGCATTCACGTATGCAGGACACACAGAACACAGGCTCGAAACGCCAAGCCCATCTGCTTGTCAAGTTCCTCTAGGGTTCCCTTTCCGACGGCAACGCTGGCTAGCCTTCACAGCGACCCTACTTGGGCACCACAACCTGCATATTTTCCTCCCCGTTCGCTTGATTCCCAATTCCCCTGGCGAAGCTAGATTGGCCAAACAGCCAAGTGCGATGACCGGAGGAAGCCTAGAGTAAAGCCCCATCGCACTCGATAGGGCAAAGCTGCCCCACAGCTACGCTGCTGTTTCTTAGCTCTCCATTTGCTGGAATTTAACTGCCAGTCTGGGAATCCAGTCATTTAGACTGAGGATTTCCAAGTCGCTGGGGTAAAAAAACAACTAGTCAAGCGAGACGGGTGGGTCTCTGCTGGCAAGAAAATGATCTCCTGGAGGAGATCTGGTGAGAAAGGAGGAAATGCAAACACACAACTCAACTCCCCTGAAGGCAGGACACAACTCTTTCAATTTGGGAGTGGGGGCAAGGGCGGGCTAGGGCCAAGAATTCTCCGAGCCTTTGGACACTTGTATGAAACCAACGGGACAAGATACTCAGACTGAAATGTGAAGGAGAAGCGAGTAATGATCGGCACCCACTGCCCCCAGCCCTTCATTGCATTTCGGTGCATTTGGCCATCTGACGGGTATGTATTGGACCCGAAGGAGAACGAGCAGGGGCCCCAGAGGAACAAAAAAGGCGCTGGCGGTCCCAGCAAAAAGCTGAGCAGCCTGTGGCTCCTGGTTTTTTTTCCTTTTCCATTGCAAAGATCCAGCAAAGAAGGTTGGCCTGAAAAACTTAAACAAACAACAAACTGGATGGCTTTTTCATTCTTTCTTGCACAACATGTCAAACAGCATGGGAAGGGCTGTGTTTGTGAATGTTTTTGCACTTTTTCCCCAAATCTGTGCCCTGTTTATTTTACGAAAGTGATGGTTTGAGCCCCCTGGGGGAAGGGGAGGGGGGCTGGCTTCATTCGATGACAGCTGTTACAATTGTTCAGCTAAAACCCTACCCGGATGTTAGCAGCAAAAAAAACAAGAAGAGAAAAAAACCAACCCAAAGAAGAAAAAATCTTAAAGCTTCAGTTTTCTTCCTGCTATGACTTAATCAGAAATGGCTTCGCCCAAGGCCCGTGTTCAGGGACAGCTGCAGTCCCCTTGCAAAAACTGCTCTGCTCCTCCCAAACTTCCTACTTAAGCAAAGAGACATCTTTCAGAGACTCACCATAAATCAGAACTATAGGAACCGGGAATTAAATTTCTGCACCAGCCAATCGTGTTGCCCAGAAATTGTGCAGATGTGTTAGAGATACCGAGCCAATTAATGGCTGATCCAACGTCATCCAGGTTGATTTCTGATCCTCCCCCCCCCAAATTCAGGGCGGACCCTTTAGTCCACGCACCTTGTTTCGACTGTTGGGTCTGAATGACTCACAGCAGGGCCGAGTAGCATTTTGAACTGATCCCAAAAGATGCATTGGATTGCTGAGGGATGCAGTCTCAGGAAATGATGTAGCTGCTTTAAAGAGCTGCAGTGCTACCTTAAGGCTCTGAAGCACTTCATTGGAATTGAATCCAAAGCACTGTGTAGCCCTATCACACAACCTCTGGCTTTGCAAGACAGTCAAGGAAGTAAATACTGCAAAATGCTTGCTTTTCTGGATGCAAGCCTCATCTCTGGTTGTTCAAAGCCTGAGATGACAGCCATCTCAGAAGATGAAGGATAGGAAACCCACTTCTACCCTGAACCTGTCCTTTTGGTCTGAAGTCACACAGTAGAAGACAAAAGGAGCTCTCTGATTTGGCTGTAGATGGGCAAGCTACAGATCAAACAAAGTTGATTTCCTCAACTTGGGGAAGCCCATTATAACCCTAATGGTTCCTATGCAGGCCATATTGTTAGGTACTTATGGGAGGTGTAGACCAGCCCATCTGGTGGGGACTGTGTTAGAGAAGGCTGCTTGTTCAACCATGCCAACTTTCTCAAGGGGTCCTCCAACACCCTTGTTTTCTCAGTTGGAACAGCTGAGATTCTGAACATGCTAGAAACCAATACATTTATCCCAAAATATTGTGCGATGGTGGTCATGGTGGTAGGGTACCAGCCACACGTGAACAAAAGGCATTTTCCCTGTAGTGTTTTCACTTTCAGAGCTTTGAAAGGGGACAACAGGAGAAATCATAATAATCTTCTTCTTCTCCTCCTCCTCCTGCTCCTCCCGCCGAAGTCCGTCTGTACTGACCCATCCACCACCGCCCCACTTCCCCGCATAATCACAGAGCCTGAGGCAGCTTCAGCAACACAAAGTTTGGCAGAGACGGGTGCGCAGCTTTCCTTCATACCACCCAAATCTTTGGATTCTCACAACTCCATGGGACCTCAAGAGCCACTCGATCTTAGCCCATGGAGCTGTTGGTGTGTTCTCCTAAATGGGCACACCCCAAGCACCTCAAAATGATGTACCTCTTGGTAGAACTGGCGTCCTTCCACAGCTTGTCTCTTCTATGGCTTGCATGCAATGCACATTGTACCCCGGCCCGGACACTCAAATAGTCAGGAGGGGGACACAGCCCACCCCCACCCCTCCCTCGTGGCACACCATCGGAGCCATGAACGTCCAGCGGTTGGTTTCTGGGTCATACATTTCTACAGAGCTCAGGTTGGACTGTCCGTCGTAGCCGCCCACAGCATACAACCGGCCACAGTTTGCCACGAGGGAGACACGGCTGCGCCGGGTGTTCATGGGAACGAGGAGGTACCACTGATCTGCTGCAGAATTGTACACCTCGGCGATGCTGAGGAAGCCGGAGCCGTCGTAGCCGCCGCAGACAAACATCTTGCTGCCCAGGGAAGCGGCTCCATGCCGGCAACGTTTGTTCGACATGCTGGCCGCACCGTGCCAAGAGGCTGTGTGGTGATTGTAGTACTCCACCTGGAAGGAGGGCCAAAACCACAGATCAGCAGAGGACAACTGGAAATGACAAGTCAGGGAGGGGGGACTGACTTCCAGAGATTACAGAACTGCTAACGGGAGAGGCTATGAGCCATTTCAAGACCTGACAAGGCCTCGGATTCAAGTTTGAGGAGATACATTAAATAACACAATAATAAGCCACACTGCTTGATAAACCTTCTCTGACATGTTTGCTTTAACTATTTAGGGAGAACCTTTGCACAAGTTCCAGACATTGGAATGACAGTTCCAGAGTTTTCCTCCAGCTCTTCACTTGGGAAATGCTCATCTTTCAGGCAGGAATGGAACTGGGATTAGTGGAGGGCCAGAAACCAGACTTACGCTATTGAAGATTTGCAATCCGTCGTGTCCGCCGGAGACAAAGATTCGGCCTTCAAAGACTGTGACACCAGCTGCGCTGCGGTTGGAGCTCATGGGAGTCACCACCATCCACCTTCACAAGGGGTCAGCAAAGGAGAAGTGAGTGGCAGGCCGTGGAAGTGGAACCCGCCCACATCTCACAATGGCCATTCAGGAATACTCACTTGTCTGTCTCGGGCGAATATGCCTCCACCGAGTTCAGAGAGGAGGTGCCATCGTACCCTCCGCAAACGTAGATCTGTCCGTCTAGGACTACAGTTCCCATCGCACTGAAACAGGCCAGAAACCTGAGGTTTAAGACTGACCAACTTTAGTAGCACACTTTTAAAGGATGATTTTATCTCTCGATCAAACTGTTATGGCCCCATACATTTCTCATGGCTTGCATTCAGATTTCATCACGTTTCAAACACAAAGACCCATTGAAACCAGCAGGTTAAATCTATCCTAGATTTATAGAATCAATGAGTTGGTAGAACTCTAACTGGTCATCTAGTCCAACCCGCTGCCCAGTGCAACGAGTCACTAAAGCCGTGTTTCTCAACCTCAGCAACATTACGATGCATGGACTTCAACTCCCAGAATTCCCCCAGCCAACATGCTGGCTGGGGGAATTCTGGGAGTCAAAGTCCACACATTTTAATATTGTTGAGGCTGAGAATGCTGCACTAAAGTATCCCTAACCAGTTGCCATCCGGCCCCACCTGAAAACCTCTGGTACGCCCCTGTTCTAGGGAGACCGCTCCATTACCCAATCACTCAAAAAAATCCTTGTATTCAGCCTGAATTGCCTTTCGTTGGTCCCTGTTCTGCTCGCAGTTTCAACAGAAAAACCACCCATCTCTCTTCAACATCCTCCATAACTACTGTATGTTCCAGTGCTGGGGTGGAGGCAAAAGAATAGAATTATAGATTGTGTGCTGGAAGGGCCACCTCGTCCAACCCTCTGCTCAGTGCTCAGCTAAGTATTTTTAACATGCGGGATATTCAGCTTCCACTGAAAAACCACCAGTGAGAAATAGTTTGCTGATAAACTCTTCTGCTGCTAATGGCACTTACTGACTACCTTAAGGTCTACTAATTTCAACGTAGCCTCAATACATTTTTTTAAAACGTCTGGATTTGGTCCTCTGCCCTCTTTCCTGAACTGCTTGTGAACGCAGTATGGCACCCATTTAACAGAAAACCTTCTTTTTTCTACAGGTCCACTAATATGCCAGTTAAAAGAACATAAATGTTATTATAAACTTAGTAACTGGAAACAAGAACCGGCCAACAGCTCCACTGCAAAGGCCCACCTAAATAATTTTTAAAAAATCACTGTAACTCACTGAAATAATTAAATCAATATAAACGATTCCCAGACCTTCCTAACACAAGATACGAAGACATGGGATAATCTGTGCAGACATATTTGGCTGTGTTTTGCTTCTTCTTGAAATCAGACATAAAAAAACCCTATCTTCAACCTGACTGAAAAAGTGAACAATTCAGAAATGCATACGGGAAGAAACTGATTAGGTCACACGACCAAGCAGTTAGAGAGCCCAGTTTAAAACCAAGGAAGTCCGACCCGGGGGGATAGAGCAGCAGAGAGAGTGCCTGGATAAGAACATTTGCTGGCATCACCAACGTCACATGTGCAGCGGACTTCATCTTAATGGCTGTGAACGCCGGTCATCTGAGAGCAGGTGGAAATAATCCGTCCCCCGTGAAATAATTCACAAGTCAAACTTGGCTGATTCTGTGGGTCCCAACGTCGCCTGCTCCGGTGAGTTTCCCGTTTCTCAAGGTGGGTGTCATTTTGTTCTTCCGCAAAAGACCCCCACGAAGCAAGGCTTCACAGCTCACATTTGAGAAGGGGGAAATGAGAGTGAAAACCTCCTCCCCTCTCAACTCCCCTAAGATAAATCAGCAAAGTACAAAAGCTTCTTTCTAATGAGAGATTCCTATTTGGATGGGAGCCGATCCATCATGTGTGGTTTGCCTCTGCAGAGGAGGTAGCCCAACCTCCCCGACCTGGTGCCCCCCACGCCAAGGGTAGGGAACTCCCTCTCGCACAAGCAGCAGACCCAATGAGCGATGGGCCTATGGGAAATGGCTGGGGTTTATGGGAGATGAAGCCCAAGAGGTCTGGGAGAAATCAGGGTGGAAAAAGTGGGAATGCAGCGACTTTCTCCTGTATGCTGCGTGGCGAAGGAAATCTGAAACGGCTGTTTTCGGGATCCTAGGGGCACCGCTTGACTGACGGGAATCTCGCCCACTCACGCACCTTCGTTTGCTGTTCATGCTTCCCACTTTGGACCAAGAGTCGGTCTCGGGGTTGTACACTTCCACGGTGCTCAGTCGCCATTGCCCGTCGTATCCCCCAATGGCGTACAAGAGCCCGTTCAGCACGGCAACGCCCACCCGGCTGCGGGCTGTCGTCATTGGCTGGCACTTCTCCCAGTGGTTGGCAATGGGGTCGAAGACTTCCACCACATTCAGCGAGTCGCCTGCGTAGAAATTTGCTGCTTGCGTTTTAAAAAGTGATAAGCGTAGCCGGCCATTTTTTTTACGGTAAGGCCATGCTTATTTCTCTAAAGCAGTCTTTCTCAACCTCGGCAGCTTTCGGACGGGTGGACTCCAACTCCCAGAATTCCCCAGCCAGCCCTGCTGGCTGGGGGATTCTGGGAGGTGGAGGCCCCCCGTCCGAAAGCCGCCGAGGGTGGGGAAGACTGCTTTTGAGAAAAAAGCATGGCGCTACAGC